CTTGTGAATACGCAGAGCGCGACTTCACTAATTTAAAAAATGCTTCGGAAAACATACTGAAATCACAAGGCCAAGGGGAGCACAAAGGGAACGAAGAAGCATGTGCAAAGGCAGATCTGGGAACCTGCGCAAATATTCATAAAGAGCATTTCTGCGTAGGAAACTAGCTGTTGTCCACGGTGCATTCTAGATAAACGGCAAATAGGGATAAATGACAGCCACCAATTACCTGATGTGACTGATGAGCCACCTGAATACTGAAAGCAGCTGCTTTACTAAGACTTGGGTACGGCGTGAGAGCTACCCGTGAATCCCTGGAGTTTGCACACGTGAAAAAATACCAAGTAAATACAGTGCAAGGTTATTTTGTCAGAGAGAGTTCTACAATTATTAATTCCTACCGGAAATTTAGGATGTTTAATGAAATGAAGGCAGGCTGGCTTATAGCTTACACCAGGAGGCCTCAATAGACAGCTGCGCGTGGAGTATGGAAATGGTGCAGGGTTAGGACCCTGGGTGGCCTCCTCTCCACTGCTATGCAGCAGTGTGACCTCACCTCTCCAGTTTTAGCCGGTGAATCCATATACATAGAAATTCTAGGGCTACATAACACGACTAGATCTTTCCCAGCTTAAAAAAAAAAAAAAAGTTCTTTGGTTTCAGCTATCACTCCTAAGGAAATACCAAATCACACATAAATCTTTCATTTTAGGCTTGATTTCCTTTAAACAACAGCAGACCCATAAATAGCCAGGCTTTCTGAAAAACAAAAATGCCTCTCCCCCTCTTTTTTATTTTTGAGTAAAGGAATGGTTTATCGGGAAAGTTTCCACTGAGCCCTCCCAGAATTTAAAATAGGGATGGTATAAGGAGGGACCTTCGCCTCGTTACTGCTGAAGCCTACTTATTTGCAGTTAAAAAACTTAGAAATCTATGAAATAATAAAACTCCTTTGACAACTAACCTGCCAAAATATACATGTATCCTTCTTCACAAGGAATCTGGGAAGCTTTTTTGGTTGAATTTTGACCAGAAATCACAGCAAATGTTTTAAATCTATTTTTTTCTATATGACATACTTCGAATAAAAAATAACTATGATCGGAAAATTTATTTTCCTATTGTGTTTGCCTTTTGGTTATACCTCATATCTCACTTCTGTTCCCTCAAAATCATGCTTTTTTATTTAGCATTACTTTTGTCACTTTGTATCTTCGAGTAAAATGTTTAAAATCTTAGCATTAGACTAAATGGGGATACTGATCTATTTGGCATGTAGGTCTGGATAACTAAATTTTGTTTTCATCTTTTAGGCTACTTAAGATATTGAATGGCACAAAATTAAAAGATATCCTTAATAGTCGAACAAGCCGTCTTCATTTTTTTATCAGCACATCTGATTTTCAGGCCAATTCACTCTTCTTGAGTATTATATAGGTGAACTGACACTCAAAAAGGTAGAAGGCATCAAAAGTTAAAATGTGAAAATAGCCCCCCCCCAAAAAAAAAGAAGAAAAAAAGGAGAAGGCAAGTGATTTCTCATTTTTAGAAATTTCTCAATGTTAACATTATTTTCAGTGCACCACTCAGGGATAAGCCATGATATTAATTATCTTAAAAATCTCATACGGTTAAGCAGAGATAATAAAAGATCAAACTCTAAAGTCGCTTTGTTCAGATGCAGGAGCAAGCAGAGACACTCCAAATGTGCAACCCCCCAATTTTTGTAAACAAGCAAACAAACCAAAAAAACAAAAACAAAACAAAAAACCCAAGCAGAAAAGGCAGAGAAAGAAATTATCATAAAGTCCTCCCGAACTTCAGAATTTTCAAGTTAATTACGTGTAGTTTGACAAACTGCTCGAGAACAAGCCACATGCACCCTTCTGGACTCTACGTTCCCGGCTTTACTCTGTTTCTCATAGCAGGCATGCAGGTGAATATACTCTATCTTCAGCTGCACAGAGATGAACGTTCAGTATATTCACTGGCTTATTAATGAGCACATCGAAGAATAGGTACAAGGCCACCTACCATTGTCACTGTCTCCTTCAGATGGAACGCTGTAGCTAGAGCTGTCCCATGTTTGTGCCTGTGTAAGTGTGTTGAAGGAGATAGGAGGAAGAGTGAGGGCTGGGTCTGCAGGAGAGCAAGAGAGCCGGTCCGCGTACGGTTGGACAAGGACCAGGAAAAACCAAAGGGGCAGCGGCATTTCACAAATGGCATAAGGTTTGTATGGAAATGAAGCGAATTTCGTGTCATGGGATTTAAATTCAAATGTACAATATAGGAGAGGAATGAAAGATGGCGCATGAAATAAAAAGAATGATAAAAACTGAGTGTTAGTACTTATCAATCATATACTTTGCATGCAGTTAATATCGTTAATCTTAACAGTTCTGCAAGCCCAGACTCAGAGTACTATAATGAACCATGTCGGCAGAAAGGAAGAGTACCCACAGGTAACACAGATACAAAGCAGAAGACCTACCAGACACCTTTTTTAAAAAACCTTCTAAATAACTAACAGTCGTAGCAAATACGATTCACACAAAGAAGTTGGTTACGTAGACAAAGCTTAATATGCGTAAATATATCTATTATTTAGAAATGAGACTGTTACAGAATCAGTGTTTACCACTTGTCAGGTTTTTTGTTTTTTGTTTTTTGTTTTTTCCAGGGCAATGTAAAATTTCTCTAATTTCTCTTTAAAGGCCACTGGAGTGCTTTATTGATAGCTGTGGTTGGCCGACTCCTTGCTCAACCCTTGACACACACACCTCTCAATACTGTCTTTGGGACTGATCAGTAGAAAAACAGTTTTTGACACCAGCAGAGTCTCTTTAACAACACACGTAGTTCACCAATAGATGTCAATCAGTTTCAAGCGCTTCTGAGTTAGGAATGAATATTTGAGTATATGCAATTGTCTCTCTTTGGAGGAAACACGGAAGAGAAAGAAGTTTCTTGTGAAGAAAACTATCAGCCCACTTCAGAATCTAAGTTCTTATTCCAATTTGCTGAGCTGAGCAGTCTGTTTTTATTTATAACACAGAAATCACAGAAATCCATATACTTAACTTTGAAGGAAGAATTAATTGGCTTTTAAAAGTCCCAAAGCTACAAAACCAAACAGAATTTCTTTTTAAATCATATGATCTTCGGTGAAGATCACTATATATATTATTTTTTAGAAAATGTGAAAAATACATACTCTGATATATTTAAGTCACTAAATAAAATGCAAAAAATCCCCAATGTATAATGCACTTCTATAAAGTTCCAACATGCCACTTGACGGTCCTGAAGATAAATCAGCATTATTTAACAGCAACCAAACTCCACAAAGCTTTCAGCGACTGCCACGATTTCCACAGTGGTTAGTCAGCATTACAGAAAGGTTGGAAGCTTGGACAGGAAACCGTCTTTGGTTTCTGCTATTCGAAATAAACACGCCATTTCTTTTTCACCACTACAAAGAATCTGAAATGGCTGAACAGCACAATATTGATAAGCCGAGTTCGGACTCCATAAAAGGAAGGGGAAAAAAAAAATCACCGAGACAATTTTACGACTAAATTGTAAAGATGCACATTCAAAAGAATATTGTTTTTTGGAGATCCATTCAACTATTGATTGCTTAATTTTCAAATGTTTTAGAATTACTTAAAACTAGCTGTAAGGGTTAGAAGCAAGGCTGCGGCCCAATCTGAGGTCCCCAATGCAGAGAGAACTCTCCTGGCAGGACATCACTAAAGGCACGGAGGAGATGTGCCCACCCAACCATCTCCCCCGCACACACCTGAGACCCCGGAGAAATGGAAGCCTAGCCCAGCTCTGACTGCATATTCTCAGTTCTGTGAATGAGGAGGCCAGTCATTTGAGCCTTATTTCACGCACAATTTGGCTTTTCCCTAAAATACCAACTAACCTCTGTTACGCCCAAGCATTTTCTCAAATAGCTTTGCCTCATAGCTCATCCAAAATGTCAGGAAACCGTTATGCCTGGCTACATGTTACCCATCAGTCAACTTGCTTAAAAAAAAACAGAAAAGTTTCCTTCATAAAGGAATCATCTTTGGTATTTAAAGGGTACCCTTTTACAAAAAGATATGCACGTATATAGCTTCCACTGTTGCCAAAATGCTTTACTGGAAAACCCAAGGACATCCAAGTTCTTCACTAGCTTTTTGCTTAAATGTGTCTGAGTCCTTTCTCAGCACTTACTTAAAAGCATCGTAGCAGCGAGCACATGCAAAGACCCAAAGATATTAAAACAAAAAGGGACCAAGAAGAAGGCAGATTCGTGCCAGGACTTTAGTGCAGAAATCAGAAAAGCCAGATTTTTCTATGCACGGTCCTTCTTTTTAAAACCAAGAGGCTTTTTTGCACGTTGCTAGAATTTCTATCTGTGAATACGCTAACAGTTAATTTAAAGAAAGTAGGTAATGTAAGCAGAGAGGCTCAATTAAAGAAACGACTCCTGACCACTCATGTGAGCCTTGAAATGATCACCCTGATGTAGGAGGAAATATGTAACCCTACGAGGGTTAGAAAGCCAACAAGGGATGTTTTAGCGGAATCACCCTGTCAGAGGCTGCGCTTGAGCTCAGCAGCAGACCAGGAACCACTGGGGCAAAGGGCTAGCTATTTTTTTTTAATCTACCTTGGGTAAAAAAAAAAACAAAAAAAAAAACACACACACACACAACTCATTAGGATATTTCTTCCCCCCTTACAAGCCGCATCACATTTTCTCTTTGCTCCAACTGAAAAGGAGGTACGACATCTACTGCTGATAACGCAGACTTCACAAGTGATTCACTGAAAACAAGGCTCCAAGGTCTGGCCTCCCCAGGCTGTCCCGAGGCCCTGATGCCAGGACTCACGATCACCAGGTTCATTCACAAGGCTGCTCACGCTAACACATACACATCTAGGAGGCTACAGAGAAACCCCTGAGTGTGTACAAGTGTCAGGACGCTGAGGTTTTAAATTACCTGATCGAGGCTTCAGGCCAAATGGAGCTGTGCTGTTGCTGGTAGGAGAGACTGCAGGGGAGTTCACTCTAATCTGCAGGATCAGAAGGAAAGGATGCTTTAAAAAAAAAAACGCAAAAAACTGAAGCAGAACTACACGTTTCTGTATGTTCGAGGGTTATAATAACACCACTACCTTTTTGATTGGCTGCTGTGTGATGACTGAAGCATCTTCACATTGCAAACGGTGTAAGAGGCACCATCAGTAGAATGTTGTTTGGGGAGAGAGCCAGTCAATTTTTATTTGAGCAATAAAAAATATTCTACAGTTACGTGACCCTGGCAATCCTTTTCTGCTCCAGGATAGATGCGTGCATTGTGTACACACGCACAAGCACGCACACACATCCACCTCCCAGGGGGCACAGCTGATGAAGAACCTCATGACACAGTAACATGAGGAAACAGGTAACACTGGGATGCCCGGGTGGCTCAGCGGTTGAGCACCTGCCTTCAGCCCAGGGCGTGACCCCGGAGTCCTGGGATCAAGTCCCCACAGGGAGCCTGCTTCTCCCTCTGCCTGGGTCTCTGCCTCTCTCTCTCTGTGTGTCTCATGAATAAGTAAATAAAATCTTAAAAAAAAAAAAGAAAGAAAACAGGTAACACTGAACAGAGTCTCATCTACAGGGAAAGTGCACGCTGCATCACTGATGCAGAACAGGACATTCGAAACAGTGCTTATTTGAGCTATCGCTTTGTTTTCTGTAAAGATGTTGCCGTATTTGGTTTTCAAAATGTATCTCATAAAATTAATCTTTGATTATGGATAGGGCCAGATAAGACTATGACAGCTGAGGAGAGAGACTCCCCCTCCAGAGAATCTGCAATACAATTAACTTACAAATCATGACAGTCTCAGATCATATATTTCTGTAAAAGAGATTTCAATTCAGCTTCGCAAACCACCTCAGCTCACGTTCGTCTTCGGGAAACTCACCTCATTTGGAGAATACTCGCTCCCGTTGCTCTGTAATGTTAGATCATTTTGCACCTTAAAGGAAAAAAAAATGCACAGAATGTTCCATTAGCCCATAAAATTACTGAGGCAAGAACGGTATCCTTCAAGACTTCCATGATATCCCTGGCACATGGGCACACAGTGAATATACACTGAATTAATTAACTGGTGTGGTAAGTGGCTAAGTAGGTCATACACTTGCTAAAAACACGCAGCTGTCGTCACACACATAAAAATACATCTAAAGTACGACACAAACTAAGAAAAGGGATTTCCTAGAGCAAAGAGTTCAGCCCAAAGCACCTGTAAACATCAACCCGCCTTGCTAGATTACCAGGCCACCTGTGGGCTCCCACTCCTCATTTGAGCTACAGCGTTAAGAGATGGTCCCAGGCAGTATTTCCCAAATACACAGAATCTCACTGGGAGCCTTTCCTTTTTGTTAACGATTTTATTTATTTGGAAGAGACAGAGAGAGACAGAGAGAAGTGTGTGCCAGCAGGGGGAAGGAGAAGGAGAGAGAGAATCTTGAGCAGACTCTGCGCTGAGCGCAGAGCCCAAGAAGGGAGTGGGGTTGCCTTGACCTCACGACCCTGAGATCATGACCTGAGCTGAAACCAAGAGTTGTGGCTTAATCAAATGAGCCGCCCAGGCGCCCCTCATTGGGAGCTTTTAATAAATATATAGGCCCGGACTCCCAATTACCTGGGATAATCTTATGTTGTCAATTCAATACCAGTTTGCTTTGGCAACCAGTGGGGAAACTGTAGGTTATTTTACTCAGACCAGCCGTCTTTATATGGTAATCAAGAAACCCACTGGTCATGCCCTAATAAAAAGTCTGGCAATACCTAATATAAACATCTTTATTTATAGTACACCAAAGGTGTGTCTGTTCCTATTCCTACTCTGAGGAGTGCTACTTAAAAAATATTTCGAAAAGAGGGATCTCTGGGTGGCGCAGCGGTTTGGCGCCTGCCTTTGGCCCAGGGCCGGATCCTGGAGACCCGGGATCGAATCCCACGTCGGGCTCCCGGTGCATGGAGCCTGCTTCTCCCCCTGCCTGTGTCTTTGCCTCTCTCTCTCTCTCTCTCTCTCTCTCTGTATGACTATCATAAATAAATAAATAAATAAAAATTTAAAAAAAGTCAAAAAAAATATTTCGAAAAGAAAAAATATTTCGAACTTTGACAAATCCAAAGGAAAAACGTATTTTTGGAATCAAATGTCATCAATTTTCCTACCCAGTTAGATGGCTTTGTTAGAGACACTAACAAGGACCTGTAGGTTTGATTCTCTCTATAAGCAATTCCTTCCTCTAATTTTTGTGGTTGTCCCCCAACACCTGCCCTAATTTGACTTTATGAGGAGACTATAATTTGCAATTCTTCCTGAATAGATGCCAGTGCTACCCACACTCGATACAGACACTAATCTCAAGTAATTTGAAGTCAGACAACATGATGCATAAACCACTTGGTAATGTTGGCCTTCCCTATGGAACTGGGCACCACCCATTCCCAGCGTGTGCCTGGTTCACAGGTTGTGCTGATTCTGCTATGGCTACTTGCTGCCTTGCTCAGCACAGCCCTCTGGGGCCCATGCAAATCCAAATTGGCCCCCCAAATTTTCAGTTTACTTCCCTCTCCTTGAACTCCATCTCTACCCCAGTATCCCAGAGCACCTAAAACACTCAGGATTACAGACCGTCTCAAATTCTTTAAATTTTTTCAATACCTACATCTTCTTCCCTCCACAATTTTTAAAACCCTCATAAATGAGGACGACTTCATATCTTAATATGCCAATCCTTGACACCCAAAACAGGACAAAATCCAGCAGAAAGTTCTCAACAAACATTGGCTAATTGATTCAAGACTATGCTAAAGTCGTTGCTTTCCCCTGAATGAGACAGAGGAGAGGATATAAAAATAACCGAATCACAAATGAGGACCACGTTTAAGTTCTGTAGAATGGTTAGCACTGGCCTTGCTAATCCACTACTTTCTCTTCCTCCTCCTTGTGACTTCTGGGGCGGCTATCTGATACCTCCTTTTAAAAAATCACTGAGATGTCCCTGACCTGGACAGATGACTGCCCTAGAGAAGGAAGACGATGAGTAAGAATTTCTCATACCAAATATGAGTCCCCACTGAACCAAAAAGAAAAAAATAACTCATATTACTATAAAACATTATGAATCAGAGATGGAGTGGACGTTATCTTTTGTCTAGAGGATTTATGTCTTACTGGCACTCCTGAAATCATGCATGAGGTGGGCATCTGTTTTATGAGAGTCAAAAGTGGTCCTAAAGTCCCTCTTCACTGACTGCCTATGGGCTGCAATGGAAAAACAGAACAATAATTACACAGCAGACAAATCAAGTTACACAACGACTGGACAATCAAATTAACACCACCAATCAGGCCCATATAGACAGTGTGATACTCTGAAAAGGACACAGTATCACCCGTGCAGTGTCCTAATCAAGAACACAGAATCTCAATCTAATCATAAGGAAATAAGAACCTTTGTCCCACAAAATGAGGGGCATACCATTAAAGAAGAGGAGAGCTATATTCCTCAAAATTTCAAAGGCGTAAAAACCAAAGAAAGGTCACAGAAATGTTCTAGAATAAAGGAAACTATAGATACCTCATAACTAAATACAATACCTGCCACTAGACTGGATCCTCCTACATTGTGGAGGAGAAAAAGAATACTGTGAAAAATACCATTAGATCAGCTGAAAAATGTGAAAGATGGATGGCAGATTAGATGAAAATGTTTTATCAATATAAGTTTCTGAACTTGATAACTGAGATGTAGTTCTATAAAATAAAATCTCTATCCTTAGAAAACATACAGTGTTTAGGGGAAAAAGGACTATGATATCTGAAACCCTCAAATGTTCCAGAAAAAAACACCATGTGTGGAGGAAGAGAGACAGAAAAGAAACAATGGGGCAAATGTGGTAAAACATTAAAGGTAACTTGGGGTAAAAGGATGCAATTTTTGTGACCTTTTGTAGAATCTTGTAATTTTCTCCTACATTTTTATAAGTTTATTTCCAAAGAAGAAGTAAAAAAAAAAAAAAAAAGTGGGTCAACTATAATCAATGAGTCAGTAATAAAACAGTGAGGGCCTGCACAGAATCACACGTAGCCTGTCTCAAAGGAGAGCCTGATAGAATGGGCCCAGGGCAGCCTTCACAGGAAAAGCGCCCTGATGTTCCAGGACCCGGTAATTCAGTGATGCCTCCACCAGGGAAGACACAGTGCGGTAATTCTGTCCAAGGACCAGTATTAATAATAGAGTGGTAGAGTTAGAGTCATAGCTAACATCGAGGTGCCCTGGGGTGTGAGACTGGTCCCGATGCACAGAAAATTAAGGTGAAGTTTAGAGAGGTTGCCGAGAGTTAGCATGTCTTTGAGGTAGGATCAAACTCGACATGATTCTAAGTCCTGGCGCTCAACGATGAAACCACAGAGGCGCTGCCAGTTAAGAGGGTGAAACTGCGTCACGGCACTTCACAGGCTCAGATACCTCAAGGACGTAAATTGGTGTGCACAGAAAGTACCCATCCTAAACCCAACTCGCTAAGGTGGGATGAATGAGGGTGTCACCCAGATTTCACTCTGAAGTCACCAGCTTAAACGTACCTTTACGACGGTTTCTCGGGGACCTTCTAGGTTCATCTCTAGTTTTACGTCAAAGTGCTCTCAATGGTCACCCAGATTTCACCCAGTGTTAGTTATTCCACCCTTTGCTATGTCCCCAAAGAACACCACCGGGTCTCTCTGCTAAAGTGCTCCTAATCCTCCACGGCCCTTCCCAAATCATTCATTCTTGCCTTTCAAGTCTTTCCTAGTTTATTTTCCCCGGGGCCACTTCCTAGGCTTCTTTCTTGGCCCTAAAATCTTCCCTGAACGGTCCTATCTCTTTCTGATGCAGCTGATGTTGGCTGCTACTGCCTGGCTCGCAGGACTACCTGATCCCCAAAATGTAAAGAATTTAATGGGAAAAGCCAACTCTCATCTTTAATGGAAGATGAAGTATAATAGAATAACAAATGAGAAAAACAGACCATGAACAAAATTAAATATTGGTCCCAGTTATGAATGTTCATTGACCAATCTTTTTTTTTAAGATTTTATTTACTTATTTGACAGAAGGAGAGAAAGAGAGAGAGACTAAGAGAGAAAGAGAGAGCACAAGGGGGGGGTGGCGGCAGAGAGAGAGGGGGAGAAGCAGACTCCCCACTGAGCAAGGAGCCCCAGGCAGGGCTGGATCCCAGGACTGTGGGATCATGACCTGAGCCAATGGCAAACACTTAACTGCTGAGCCACGCAGGCACCCCGTTCCTTATGATTAATCTTCATAGAATATGGTAGCCACTATTCTGTGGCGGAACAATAGCTCTGGGTAATCCAAGGGCAGCCTTACCTCACACTCCGGAGACGTCTCCAGTTGTATTTGACCACTGTAGGAATAAAGAAAAGAAAAGGGTATAAAGTGGAATTAAAGTGAATTTGCTTTCAAAGTTGAAAGAAAAAAATATACTCAGTTAACAACAAAAAAAAAAGGTCAACATACTTGAGTGCAGAATCTTGTAAGTCTAAGGCTTCTGCTGATTCCATAGGATAAAAGTTTACGACATTTCTCTCTGTAATATCCGCGCTTAATCTAAAAAGCAGGGGGAAAAAGATGTTAGCAAATGTATTAAACTTTTCATATGTTCTATGATTTTCATGAATCCAATGCTTCAGGTTCTATTTGGTTTATAATTTTAATATATCAAAAATTAATTTAATTTTTATTGAATTAAATTTAATTTTTATTAATTTAATTTTATTAATTTTTAATATATTAAAATTTATTGATTTATTAAAATCTAATTTATTATTAGATTAAGTAATCTAAGGTTTATGGTAGGAATTTCAAACTACGTGGCATTTTCCCGCCATGTGGCAAATTTTATATAATTTTCTATCTGCTATTGGTATTGAAATCCTACTAGCAGTATAACAGTAATTTCTGCTAAATTCATAATATTCATAGGTAGTACACACTAAGTTTTATTCTAGAACTTGATGATTAACTTATAGAAGCAAATAAAACTGTTAAGAATACTATATGTATCAAGGCTATTTTGTTGGAATAACAAAATGTTTAGGAACAAAAATGTTCCTAATAGGATGATTGCCCTGAAATACACTAATACTTTCACTCCTAAAAATTAGAATTCAGGGATCCCTGGGTGGTGCAGCGGTTTGGCGCCTGCCTTTGGCCCAGGGCGCGATCCTGGAGACCCGGGATCGAATCTCACATCGGGCTCCCGGTGCATGGAGCCTGCTTCTCCCTCTGCCTATGTCTTTGCCTCTCTCTCTCTCTCTCTCTCTCTCTCTCTCTTCACTCTGTGTGTGTGTGTGTGTGTGTGACTATCATAAATAAAAAATAAATAAAATAAAAATAAAAAAATAAAAATTAGAATTCATTAGCAATTGGATGTGTAATTTTATTTCTGGAAGTGTCTTACAGTTAGTTTGTGAATTCCTGCAATTTTAAGAGTTCGTTTCAAGATCTATAGAACCAGGAATTTCTGTAAAAGGTAGGGGTGAGTCCCATTATACATGCCTAATGAAAATGCTATCAAACCAATAATCAGAAATCCTTAAGAAAAGAAACCAACATAAAGGCAAAACACCATACCAATATTCAACTAGATTTTCTGATGTTAAGGTTGTATGAAAGGTAAACCTCTAAAACTTACTCCTATAATCAGTCGCTTAACTCAAACAATGAAAAGTTTGGCTCTACGAGATATGAGATAAAGGAAAAATCCAATACGTATGTAAAGTTTTTATTATTAACATTCAGTCGCAAGGAGCTAGAAATAAGCGACCCCTTATATGCCCTCAGGACTCTCTTTGTTAGCGTTATACTGGCTCACAGAAACATTATTCCAAGTTAGAACTGTCCTATTGTGATAATTACTTCAGGATGAGCAACAAAGATCTAAAGCAGCCAGAGTAGTGGATAATTTTAGAGAGGAAATTAAATCCATATAAAATTTTACAACATAATACATTTTCAAACAGCACTCCGTAAAGACGCAAATCAATTAGCTCTTGGAAGGTTACTCAGGGCTGTTTTCTTCTACACACCCACCATTCCCACTCGCTGGACATTCTTGGCAACTCATTGCCGCAAACGTTTCCAAGCGAGAGAGGAATCGCGAGGTCCTCGGTTCATCCCACTTCTCATGAAGGAAGACAGAACCAAGGCCCAGGGCTGGGAACCCTCCTCCGGGTCACTAGGATTTTTCCTACTGGGCTCTAGTCCCACATTCCCAAGCCACTTCCATTTCTACCAAACTAGGCTGTTCTTTCTCACTTTGGGGTTCCCATCTCAGCCGAGTTGCAGGAAGAGAGTATTAGAGGAGTGATATAAAATGTAAGAGGTAGAAGCCTTAAAACAATATAAAACTTGGGCCCAACCGGGGCCTTCTCTCTGTCACATCATGTCTTCAAGGCTTATTCCTGGACTCATGTTCTCTTCCCATCGATATGCTTGGCCGTGGGGATCTCAACCTCCTTACACAGCTCTGTTTCTGCAGCAAATTATGAAAATGACTTTCCAGTCTAAGTCTTGAAGCCCCAGAACTCAACATCTAGCAGCAGAATGGATCCCAACATCCTCCTCCTCAAACCCACTGCCCCCTCCTGGTTCCCCATCTCAGATACTGAGAAGGGGCTCAGATCTAAGCACTTGGGGCTGTTCCTCCCCACTGGTCTCACCACCCACGTCAAATGATCACCAAAGAACTACAACAGTACCTATCACTGGGTACCTCCAACTTACAAAAGCATAAAAAAAAGTGTTAATTTAGAAACACCTACAAAAAAAAGTCCATTATAACATATTTCCTTCCAGTTTTATTTTTTTCTATTTCTGACATGATTGAGACCTAATTCTGTCTAGATAATTGAGACCAAAGCTTTGCACTTTATATATTTTTTAAAGTGAACATTTTAAAAGGAGCATTCTAAAAAAATGTTGGAAGCTTGAAAAAAAAAAAACATTGTATCAGCCACATTATATCCTGTCTTATTAATTTTTATATTTAAGTATCTCCAAACTATGGGATTATTTCATTTTTCTCAAATGTTTGCTATAAAAACACCTTCCCCCTCTTACTCTGTGTTCATACCTCTTTGTCCCTGGGGACAAATTTTTCGAAGTTATTTGAAACGTTTATATAGTTTACAGACTATGGCCACATACTACTAGGATGTCTTCTAGGATGGTTTTGCCAATTTACCTTCTTACTAACAGTTCAGGTATTATTTCAAATCCTCACTATCCTAAAAACTAAGTACCTGGACCCCATCTTACAGAGGAAGAAACTGGTGTACAGAGTAGTTCTATCTTACTCGGGTTAAGGGTGTTGGAGCTGAGTTCAGAACCAGTGGTTGGCTGATTCCAAGTCTGTTCTTTTCATCGACAGGCTGCTTCCCTGTTTTTTATAATTTCACACAAATGCACACAATACACAGAAACACACACACACACACACACACACTATCTCTCTCATCCCTGTTTCCTATCCTCTCACTGTCTTGCCCTGGTTTAGGATGTGAAACTCACTCAGCCTTTTAAGAATACACCTTGATGAGGCATTCGCTAATATGTCAAGCTCTGAGCCAAACATTAGGGAAAATTAGCAACATGGATAACCCTATTTTCAAACCACCACTACCTCCCTCTACATATAAAATGAAAAGTCTGGGCTCCTCAACACAGCATTTGAAGACCTCCTGAGCACCACTCCCGCTGCCCTGCCGGTCTGCGGAGTCTCAGTCCTGGCTCTGCATCAGAAGCACTGGCAGTAGTTTTGAAAAGTGGAAACGGCCAGGCCTCAGCCTCACAGGTGGAGTCGGGATGTCTGTGTTTCGAATGTTCCACAAGTGGTCCTGAAGCACAGCTAAGGCAGAGATCAATCCCCTCTGCCCGGATCACCTCTCTCCGCTCCTTTTGACCTCTGTGCCTTTGCCTGAGCTTCTCATTCAATCCAGGACTTGCCTTCTCCTGGAAATGGCCCGTCACTGAAGCCCCAGATGGACTAACCCCGCCATCTGCTTCCATCTGTGGCCAGGCACTCACTCGAGTTGATCACTTCAAACGCTTAAATCCATTACGCTTACAAGTATCTATGTACTCAGGCGATCTCTACGATAGTTTAGGTTCTTAGAAGGCAAGAGCTATGATGTCTTGTTCCTCTTCATATCCCCCGAGGCGAACACAGTAGATCCTCCCATGCTCTGAGCACCCAACTAACGTCTGCAGAACTGAAATGCTTTTCAAATCCATTGCTAAACATTCTCAACCAAACTGACCCCGTTACTATTCTTTCAGGGCCAGGCAACCCTGGCGGCGACCCATCCTAGCACTCTGGGACTAACCAACCACTATTTTCATAAACACCCCTCGTGTGCTGTAATTTCCATGTTCACCTTACTACGAGATCACATCATCTTCATATTTAAATCCCCAGGACCCCTAAACAGTTTGCCAGGAATGAGCTTTGGATATATTTCTCTAGTAATAAAGTAGCTAGTACTTTTTACCAGGTATATTGTCTTACTGAAATATATTTTGTTCGTGGGAATTCCATTATCCTTTGTTACGAAACCAAAAAATACATCTACTGCCTATAGTGCCTATTATTGACAGTGCCCAATTCAATTAAAAATTATCTTGTAACTTAAATCTTTAGAAATACATTATTTAGTTAACATATATCTAGCATCTCAGAAATAAATATGATAGTACCTGCTAAAACTGTTTTTTTTTTGGGGGGGGGGTGGGAACCTATGTGTAAGTGGACCCACACAGTATCTCCCTGATATTTCTCTAAGTCGGGAGTTAAGTTTTAAGCAATATCAAATATGCACTTTTATCGTATTTCTGTTTTCTTTCCTTTTTAAAAAAGATTTAATTATTGGAGAGAGTGAGAGAGCTCAAGCAGGGGGTAGGGGCAGAGGACAGAGAGAAGTAGGACTGAGCCCTGAGCAGGGAGCCTGACTCGGGGCTCAATCCCAGGACCCCAAGATCATGAACTGAGACAAAGGCAGACACTTAACCAACTGAGCCACCCAGGTGCCCCGTATTTCTGTTTTCTAAGAATTATACCCAAAATTCCCGTATGAATTTCATGAAGGGTGAATAAATTTCAGTAAGAAGTAGCAAAAAGGGGAAATGATCTCAATCACTCCAGAAGTGTGACTCCTTTACTTATGGATCCTGTGAAAACTTTTCTTTTTTGGTGGTTAGACTGAGCCCAAGCTGCATGCACAAGTATTTTTTTTTTAAAGATTTTATTTATTTATTCATAAGAGACACGGAGACAGAGAGAGAGGCAGAGACACAGGCAGAGGGAGAAGCAGGCTCCATGCAGGGAGCTCGACGCGGGACTCAATCCCGGATCTCCAGGATCGCGCCCCGGGCCGAAGGCGGCGCTAAACCGCTGAGCCACCGGGGCTGCCCACACAAATATTTTTAAAGGTGAGATAATATATTCATTTACACATGAAGCCTGGGCCTAGAAAAGACACGCATACCTGTTGGGATCTTGCAGCAAATCTACTGCTTCTCTCAGCTGTTCAATCATCGCTATATCCACGTCCTGGTCTTTGGATGAACTTACTCTGTAGCACGAACCAAGTATAAGAATGAAAGTGATTACTAGAACATGGATGTTATCCAGATTCTTGAGAACAAGCTTATAAAAACCCATCTACCATATAAAAGTGACCTTGACAAACTCAACATTATAACAAACGTGTCAGCACCCTGTGGGAAGGATCGCGAGAGTGTTGTGCAAGTGGAGCTACTGGGGGTGGGGGGTGGGGGAAGCCCAGCTCTGCCATAAAATAGCAGCTCACACAGTCTCGATGCCCACCGGCCTCCATCTGCTCCTCTATAAAATCAGGGCAATGCGCGAGCTGGGTGGTTCTCCTGCTGCGCTTCCCTGAGCCTTAGGGGGACGCACACGAGTGCCCAGCTGCAGCAGGTCTGCACTACTTCTGGCTCTTCTCAGTCCAGTGCAACCAGTGTGGCTCAGTTTTATTGCTTTCGTAAAATATGGGACTTTGCTGGGGGACAGTGCTTCTCGCTGCAGGCTCTCTGTGCAGCAAAATGATCTGTGGCATCAAAAAAAAAAAAAAAAAAGCTAAGCCAGATACTGGGGCCTGAGCTTTTTACTAAGCTCCACAGGTAGGATTGGGAACAACAAATAATAAATAAGATTTTGAATGGGGTTTCCGAAGCTTGATCCACAGTTGATCTTTGAACGAAACAGGTTTGCATTGCGTGTGTCCACTAACACGCAGGTTTTTTCAATAAATATATCGGAAAATTTTTTAGAGTTTTGCAACAATTTGAAAAAATTCACAGGTCAATGGCATAGCCTAGAAATACTGAAAAAATCAGGAAAAATTAGTTACTACTGTAAGAATACAGCATATAGGGAGCCTGGGTGGCTCAGCTGGTTAAGCATCTGCCTTCAGCTCAAGTCATGATCCCAGGTTCCTGGGATCGAGCCCCAAGTCGGGCTCCTGCTGGGTGGGGAGGCTGCTTCTCCCTCTGCCTCTGTCTGCCATTCCACCAACTTGTGCTCTCTCTCTCTCTCTGTCAAATAAATTAATGAAATCTTTTCTTTTTTTAAAAGAATGCAAAATATAAAACATATAACACACCAAATATGTTAACCAACTGTTTAGGTTACTGGTAAGGCTTCTGGTCAACATTATCTTATTAGTAGTTAAGGCTTTGGGAAGTTGAAAATTATATTGAGATTTTTGACTGTGCGCCAAGGCCTGGCGCCCCAACCCCTGCACTCTTCGAGGGTCAGCTACAGTTTAAAGAAACACTCTCCCTATAATATCTCTTTCCCTATCATTCTATGATTTTATAATCAAGCTAGTCCTCTTTGATATTACGGAAATATATTCAACGAGTAGTTGATAACACTGGACAGTTGACTGGAAAGGAACTTAGCGGCATTTTTAAAGGTCAAGAGGTATCTGATCATAGTTACTGCTTTTCACTACAGAAGATGAGCCAACGTGTTTCTGTAAGTAGAGACACTTTTTAACAACATAGGCAGCCCTCACTAAGGGGAAATCCCTTGCAAGGTATGAAGGAAGGTCCGGGTGTACATGCCAGATCACGGAAAACAAAATCCTGGGAACCAAAAATCTACTGTTATGTCACCTGGTTCCAGCTCAATTCCCCCTGGAAATCGTTCCTCACCTGATCGATGACTCATGCCCTCGCCTGTAAAGCTGGCCAAGTGAATCCTTAGATGCAACAGAATTGAAGGGAGATTGTGATGGGAGGCTCCTGGGGTTCAATCCCAGCCCTGCGTGACTGGGGGCAGTCTCTCCGTGCCTCAGTTTTGTCGTATGTGGAACGGGGGATGACAACAGAACTTCTAAGACTGGTGTACGGATGAAACGAGTTACTGTGAAGTACTTAGGTCAGTGCCTGGCCCACAGTACGTAATAAATGTTAGTGATACCAACTGTTGGACATGGGACCAACTCATGAGAGGTACATGGTTTCCTCAGATCTCGAACCTGAAAGACTCGGTGGTAAAGGGTGACTAGGACTATATTTTGCTCTGGGTCAACCTGTTGGTTTCTTGAGACAAATGGAAGTCACCTAGAACCGCCAGTGTAGAAATTTCATCTCACTCCCTGAATCACATTCTATCCACAGCGTCCAATCAGATAAAACCCAAGGCCAAGGAAGAGGTGTGACTTTGTACTGTGACATAAGCATCAGACAGAAAAACTTGCAACTTATCGATACTACTGGGTGAGACTATCAGCTTACCCAAAGGAAAACAGACCAAAATTCTATCGTGACAGGGCTGCCTTCTGCTTGAACCCTGAACTTCACAGGATGGTGGCTCCTCAGTGGGCCCTGGGTACTCACATTCCCTCAGGCTGCCAGTGTGTGTCCTCTTCTATCCGTAACAGTTCTTCACAGTCCTCTGTCCTATCCTGTGGACAGAACATACGGGTCTTCTGAGAGCCGCTGGCTATCGGCAGTCAACAGTCAAACCCTACTCAAGCCCATGTTCACAGGAGCATTATTCTCAACAGCCAAAAGGTGGAAACCACCCAAGTGTCCATCTAAAGATGAACGGATAAGCAAAATGTGCTCTGCACACACAAGGGAACGTCACTGAGCCTTAAAAAGGAGGAAAGTTCCTACACCTGCTTTAACACGGTGAACCTGCAGGACGTGATGCTCAGTGAACTACGTCGAGCCAAACCTTGTAAGATCCCAGTGACACGAGGTCCCTACAGGAACTGCTCAGAGAGAAATAAAGCAGAATGGTGGCTGCCAGGGCAGAGGGGTGAAGGGAAGGGGAGATTAAAGCTCAATGGGCAGTGAGTGAAACACTCACTGCCCATTGATAAAAAAGATAAAAAGATACAGATAAAAAGAGTTCTGGAGACAGACGGTGGTGATGGTTGTACAGCAATGTGAATGGGCTCGCCACTGAACTATATTTTTAAATGAATTTTTTTAAATGGCTAAAATGGGAAGCTTTACGTTCTACGTATATTTCACCACAATGAACAATAAAATTTAATTTTTAAAAAGAGGGACCTGACCCAGGACCATAATACCTGTTAACTTAGAGTCAGAAATGCAAAGCATGATTCTATTTCTTATTGCCCTCTTAGCACCTCCTGATGTTCAGATTCCATCTTGGTCACCTGAGAATGCGCATGCTACTGTTTGCGAGAGGACGAGGGGTGTGTGTGTGTGCGTGTGTGTGTCTTCTTGGGGAAAAAGAAAGCGTAAAATACTAAACAAGAGGAAATGTCTCAAATTGCATCTACTGGTTTCACACATGCACACCGAACCCAGATTTCACTGAAATGAAAAGAGATCATTTTCATTTCACACACACGCGGTTATTTTTCCAAATGTGATGGGCTTATTTAGAAAGGTCCGTCCCACTGCTAAGACTTCCCTGTGCTTCTGTCCACTTTCAGCTCTGACACAGAGAAATGCTGCCTTAACTCAGCCTACGGCCAGAGAAGAAGCCACCCCCGAATGGTGGTACATCCCTCGGGGCAAAGAAAGAACAACAGACATGAGGACTGACACGCTGTTAACTAACTCAGACCCAGCCCAGTCCCCTCACGTGTCACTGGGAAGAGTCTTCTTCCGAGGAGGTGGCTGGCGCCTGATGCCAGCCTCTGGCTTAAAAAAACACTCAGACTTTTATTAATTATAGATTTAGTGCGCGGTCAACACAGGAACTACCGTGTCACTACCCAAATAACAGTGAAATTCATGGGCAACGATACACTATCAGAAATGAGCAAGAAACCGTGTTATGTAATCTCTCTTTGTTGGTTTTCAAATACAGGGGACACAGGTATTTCCTTCTAGTTTTTGGTTTTATAATAAAAGTAGAGCCAACAGTGTATTTTTCAGGATGCAACATAGGGTTTTAAGGGGCTCTTTTGCTAAGTTAGGGGGTTATACAGTTGATACCCTCATTATTTGTGGGTTCCATTTTTATGAGTTTACTACTCACTATAATTCATTTGTGGATCAATCAATAAATCAATGCTCGTGGGGGTTCACAGAGCGGCGAGAACCTCAAGACCCCAGTATGTGCGTTCCCAGCTGAGGCTGAACTAAGCTAATGCTCAGCCCTGCAGCCATCATAACACCAACCTCAGGATATAGGGACGGGATCTAGAGACCTCCCACCTGCTTTACCACAGTCAGCCCGGGACCCTCATCTCTCGTGAGCCACGTGAAAATGAACTTTATCCAATTAGCCCTGTGATTCCCTGGTGCTACCACCTGAGCCAGAAGGATGGGCAGACACATACCAATCATGTCTCAAAACGGAACCCCCACTACCAGTGCTAGAAAGGGGCTAGTTTTTCTCTATTCTTTTTGCTGCTACTATGACGAAGATCCACCTGAAAACCCAGGACCTTAGTCCAACCTTTCAATCCCTCAGGGCGAGTACAAGAGCTCAGGAGTAAGTGTTCTCCGAGTGACCTTTCCAGAAACAGAAGACATTCGTTTCTAGATTCTTAAGAGTCTCCACTTTTCTCTTTATACTATGGACGTACCCCCCAGAAAAACATTCGCTCAGAATACATGAAAAAGAATGTGAAACTTGGGTCTATTTTAACTTTTACCAGATGGTGATAGTAAGGCTGACACCTTTGCTAACTTATCATCACGCACTGAGCAGTGGAAGCAATCATTGAATGTAAAGAAAATCACACATTTACAGAGAAAAAGGCGAGGTATGACCAGAACCGGCTCCCAACGTCAGAAAATAGATACCCCAAATTTTGAGAAGATGTTATAGAAACCAGAGGAGACGGGCAGTATGCTGACATTTAAGGTGATGGACTGGTAACCTTGACCTTAAATTCTATGGCATCACACAGAAGAAAATTTAAAAAAAAAAAAATTAGCTGATCCTCCACTTGCCTTAATATAGGTTATGAATTCTGAACGGAGAACATCTGTTCCATCAGTAAATTGGTCTCTTTCTTCTCCTGAGTTGTCATTATCACCCAAAAGGGAAGGCTCTGGTTGAAATTCCTGATTAAAGTCCCCTATTAGGAAAATGTAGAGAAACACAGAAAGACAAGGTTTTATGAAGAGATGAACAAAAAGCACAGATGACCCTCAAATGCCATTGAACTATTTTTCAGTCACTGCTGTGACCACTTCTGGAGATCTATGAATGACCCAACTTTTCTCTCCCCCAAAGGGCTGGCCAAAAAGATGAATAAAGGAGGAAAAAGAGAAAGAAGAGTAAAAGAAATAGAAAGCCCTCTATGGCGAACTGGAAAGTCAAGGCCTCTTCATGGCTTACTTAGTCCCTTATGAAAGAAATGAAACCTCCGGTAACTTTTTTAAGAAAAAGAGGAAAGCAAGTATGAAACAGGGGAAAGGAACACCAAGCAGATCTCTCCTCCCTGATCTGGAAACTAAAAAGAACTGAGTAGGGCCACCTTTCAGGATTCCTACAGGGAGGAAAAATGCTCACCAGTAACAAATTACATAATTCTTTTATGTTATAAATTTGCCTAAGACACTGTTTCGTATACCGTAAAACGTTACATAGCTTATCTAAGTTAATAAAGCGGCAGTTTTATTTTTGCATAAAGTACACAAGTGATCTTTTTCTTGGACAATGTATGGTTCCAATCATAACCTCAGATAAGCATAAATGCTAAACTTAAAAACATAAAGGTAAAAAGTGAAAGCAAATCCTAGACATTGAGTTGGTTCACACAGTTTTCCCATCACTAATGAGAGCAAATCCAAATTATTAGGGAGATAATTGCATATGAATCTAGCTCTACACCATTCATATATCATGAAATCATCTCTCCACAAATCATTAAACACTAAATTCTAGTATTTTCTTTTAAAGTCACTGAATAAACAGGAGTAGTTAAAAAAAAAAAAAACCACCCTAATAGAATCAAATGAGAGCTTCTCATGAAGATATGAAATATATTGCTAGGATTTTCAAGGTATATAGGACATAAAGTACTTAGTGATCACTTGGTGATTGTTAGAGAATCACAGAATTTGAGAGCTACTGAAGACCCTACATGTTACCTTATCTAATTACCTCACTTATAGGCGAGAGAATTAAGGTCAGTTGTTTTGTCCACAGTCAAGTGGATTCCTTGGCACACGTCTTAACTACACTTCCCACCTTCACATGTGGTTAGATGTAGCCGTGTATCCCAGCCTACCTTGTGGGTGATGGGCACTCCTAGGCCCAGCCCATTAAAAACCTGCTGCGAAGCAAGCCTCCGTGCTCGGCCCACTTCTGCCTTAAGACAGGACTTGGAAACTATGGAAATCTTGTGTTAAAGATGGTGGAGTCACAGTATGAAAGCAGCTCGGGCCTTTGAATCATTGCTCAGAGGAGAGTTGCCTGTCATCTCCCATGTAGACTTGATCTGGATTGTGTTAAGCCAATGAGATTTGGGATTTTTCGTGCTATAACAACTGGTGTTGCCTAACATATCTATGTATGGGCATTTGCTTTCCAAGAATGGATTTAAAGACTGTTAGATAAATCTTCAAAATGAGAATAACTCTATTACTTATTAGCTGTGTGATCACTGGCAAGTTACTTAAACTCTCTGAGCCTTGGTATCCTATAAAATGGAGATGATTAAAACATCCGTTACAGAATTTTGAACTCTAAATGAGATCACCTTCCCAGATTAGCACAGAGCCAGGTGCACATGAAAGGCTCAATAAACTTTAGCTACTATCATGGCCCTGTTTGTGTAGATTATAGACGTACATCCAAAACTTAAAGTAAGCACTTTCTCCCCATCTTTCATTCTCCCACCTTTAACTGGGCTAAGGCGATGGCATGAGTCCTCCTTGATGATCTGTTCTTCTTCCATGATATTTGACATTGGCACATTGAGGCTAACAGTGTCTTCATCAGAAGGCTATGATTCAAGGGACAAACGTTATCAATGTAGATTAAGAGAACACTATGTGATAAGAGAAAAAATGCTGTGATTCACAAAAACATAATATTGAGTAAAAGACACCAGATACAAAGAACAGCTCCATTTACATGAAGTTCAAAAACCAAAAAAACAAAACAAAACAAAAACAAAAACAAACAAAAAAACCCAGTCCATGGTATTTGAAGTCAAGATAATGTCAAGGCTTGGCTTGGAGGGTGGGTGCGTGAGTGAGCTCCCTGGGGTGCTGGTGAAGATCTCTCTCTTGAACTGGCAGCTGGTAATGTGGGTGTGTTCACATTGTCAAAATTCATTGAGCTAACACTCAAGTGTTTCTCTGTACATATGTTTTGAGCTGAAATTTTGTCAGGTACCTGATGGTATTGCCAGCCTAAGAGCAATTTCAGAGCACTAGGAAGGACCACGGAATACCCAACAGAACAAAAGCATAACTGAATTTACTATCACACCAGCCCTAGGACTAGTCAATCGTTGTAATAGTAATGGCACTCAGAGACCTGACATGCCAATTCCCAAAACTGCATTAAATTTTTTTTAATTTATTTATTTATGATAGTCACAGAGAGAGAGAGAGAGAGAGAGGCAGAGACACAGGCAGAGGGAGAAGCAGGCTCCATGCACCAGGAGCCCGATATGGGATTCGATCCCGGGTCTCCAGGATCGCGCCCTGAGCCAAAGGCAGGCGCCAAACCGCTGTGCCACCCAGGGATCCCCCAAAACTGCTTTAAGGTTTCACGCAGCCAGTCACAAAAAGTGGGCAGTATCTGACAATAGCTCATTTACCCACAGTGCATCTTACGTGCAACATCAGGCTTCGGGTTATTTCCCTGCGTTAGGCTGAAGAATGCAGGCATTTGGGCTGCATCACGTATATGAAGTGCTAAGTGACTGTAGTACTTAAAGGGCATGTGCTCTGTGCAATTTTCAAAATAAGGCCTCGATTTAGTAATCAAAGTGAGTTGTCTCCGGAGGGGCTCGTTTCCCACACTAGCGGATGAAGTTTATTTAGATAATCTACGATTCCATCACAAATGAAATATGGAGCCTCATTTATTTTCCCCTGTCTCCATTTCAGGGTTGCTGTTTAGTGAAAAGCTTTCCAAATCACAGGGATCATGAATCTCCATAGAACACATTTCAGGGAATTCTGGGCTGCTCCGAAATTCCTGAAGCCATGACTTTCAGAGTACAGTGTTCATTTACTTTTGGACACGTGCACAAATCGTTTAGAAACTGGCGCAAAATGAGTGTGCATTCCATCCACTAAACAGATATCCATTCAGCCGCCAGTTTTTTTGCATGTTTATCTTGACAAAAATATGCTTTAGACTCCTTAGAGACAAATGTTAAATCAATCAGACAATGGCAACTGCCAAACACAGGGAATGAGATGTGCTTTCTGAATGCCACAATGAAACATAAGTGGGGAACAAGATAAACTGACCATAGATGGCAACGGATTTGCCAAAGTGAAAATAGAAAGCTACATTGGATAATTCAGAACTCTTTTCCTTCTAAAAAAAAAAAAAAACACGTTTCTTGGAGGTGTTCTCAGGTAATGAGGCTATAATGTGAAAGAAAAAAAGGCCAAAGGGAAGATGTAAGTGCTGGATTCTGTTAAATATATATCCCTTTTTGTAGTCCTTCCTTCTACCCTCCTCTCATCTTAAAAACTTAGCAAAATTCCAAAGAGATGCATCTAGTTAAAAGAGAGGGAATAAACCCCTGGCCTCCTTTTAGAATATTAGCATCCTACTTGTATTAAATGAGAACAAAAGGATAATGAAGTTCTTTGTGTGATGTTTTATTAATGAACTTAAATTACCCTTAAAAAACAGATAAAGGATAAAGCAGAGTCTGTTTTAATTTCATAGAAAATAAGCTTAGGGTGAGTAATTTCTGAAACAATGGGACATTTCAGGGGACTTACGAGTTTTAATAAAGCTAAGGGAGCTGAATTAAATACAACTTATAAAGCAGTGTGCTGAGTATTTTCTCCCCCAGGGAGCCACAGTAAACTATTCATGAGGCTTCATGAGAATGATTTTCTTTTACTGAAATTGGCCTTCTTTTTCTGCCTACAAACTCCTTTTGAAATGTTCTGTATTAGAAAGATCTTAGGGCACCCTAACTTTTAAATGCATTGCTTTATAAAGCATTTCATAGGAAATAAATGCAAATATCTTAGGTACATCTTAACCCTCAAAGACCTGAAGAGAACAGGGAAAAGGCATTTTTCTTGGAGTCACACACAGGACAAATGTGAACTCCTTAAATTGGCTTATTAATTACATCTTCAAAGAGCAGTATAATGTCTCAAAACTCAATAACCACAAAAACTCAGTAAAGATCCTCAAAAGGCAAGACCTGATACATCGACCCCCTACCCTAGTTATCCCTTCTAGCTCCCACGCTCAAGAAATCCTATTTAATGGTATGTTAGTGGAAGGTTTTGGGGCATCTAACTATAAATGAGATAAATATGCTAAATGAGCTATTTGTAACCACTTTAGGAAGCTCTAGTGTAGGAGACCTCTCAGCTTACAAATACCCGATTTTTTATCCAATGGCTGGAAAAGAACACAAAGAGCTTCAGGAAAACAAATATTACTATAAAAATTATGGCTACTCAAAATTGCATTTCCTGTAGGTAAACTGCTAAAATGCAATGCACATTTGACTCCTTAACATTTATGCATGTAAATAACTTGTTTCCTACAAACACATTTATAAAAATGCCTCATGTGTACCTGCACACCACTCTTTGTCATTTCATAATATTTATGAAACATTCAAGAATACTCTAGGTAATGTGAGCAGGGTGGTGGGAGGTGAAGGGGACAGAGACTCCACTTTTGAGATATTTACAAAACATTAAAGATGCAGAAAAAGCTAACAACAGCTCCTGTTTATATAACACTTGGGGGATTTCAAATCGCCTTCACAAACTTCATCACACATTCTCACACAGATGCATTAATGCCTTTTACCACACAGGAGTTCAGGAATGCAGGCAGATGTATATATCTAGCACAGAAAGAAAAATATCTAATCACAAAAAATTACCTCCGTGGCAGATAAACGCTTATCTCCATTATCACTTCCAACACCCGAATCAGAATCCTTCTTGCTGGGATAGATGCCATCAGTATGGAATTCATTTAGAAAAAAATGAAATCACAAAGTTCACAACAAGATACACCAATTTATACTCAAATAATGACTTCGCTATACAAGTTTTATTACTCCCATAAGGCAACAATCAACCCAATATTAAAGGAGATTGACACAAAGGCCTAATAATCAGATAGTCTTTCTAAACAGAGTACAGAATAAATTCTTTGTGCTCAGGGTTTCATAAATTCACACTCTAACCAAGTGGCCAGTTCTTTCAAATAGGCGACAATTTTCTTATATAACAGACTCTAGTGTCCAAGAAAGCAAAAACTGCCTAATTGCTTTTATAAGAGGCTTTTACCTCTTATGTGCTTACTCTCAATCAATCTGTAAGCTTCTTTCCAGTGAATAAACACATTTGACGTGTATAAAAATAAAATAATGAATGCATACTTTAAGTATTATATAAAGATACCCTAGGGCAGGCTTAGATCTTAAGTCATCATGTTTTTTTAGTAAAAAGCTAAGGACGGTCTCTGCCGTGAAGACCTCTCAAAACGAGCTATCTTTTTATACATGTGTTCAGTGTGGGAATTTTGTTCCCTGAAAATTCAAGGCCCAATTTATGCCACAGAAAGGCCAAGGGCATTTGAAAGGACTCTAATGCTTCTGTTCCAAACAGGAAATGGCAAAAACTGTGCACACTGCATTTTTAAAACACAATTACAAAACGAAACCTCCAGTTGTTCTTAACAATGTACTGAGGCATATTAAAAATTAATAATTAAAAAAAAGACATGCCTGAGCTTGATATGGTTGTTTTAACTAAGAGGTAAAACAAAACAAAACAAAACAAAACAATACCTCTATTTATATTACAGATTGCATTTATAAGGAGATATACATGCATCTAATGTACATGTGCGTTAGCACAAAAATATACGCACATGCACAGCACGCGTACACACGCAAAACTCATGAAAGACGGATTATTGATTAAAATTAGGAAAGATAAGATTTGCAAGATGCCAAAGGTTATCAACAGCACCAATTTTCTCTCTCTTATTCCAAAATGCTAGAATGCTTGAGTTATAAATCTGCACTGGTTAAGTGAGGCAAAGGGATTTTTGGAGTTCCCTACTGGGAGCACGGTGGCCTAAGCAAATTGCAAACGGGGGCTTTGAGTGACTGCAGTCACACTCACCTGTCCTCCACGTGCTGCTGTAAATGTGGCCTCTCCATCGTTTGGAGATAAAGGGAATCGGTTGTCTTAATCTGACAGGCTTGTATACTCAGGTACTTGAATATGTGCACTTTGCCCTTTGTGCAAATCTACGGAGAAATTAATAATACGTATTTGTTTAAAGGCAAAACAAAATGTAGACCCTAGACATTTGATATCTTAATTTTTGCATTTTCATTTTAAGCAATGCTTCAACAATGCACACCAAATCTGACCTCTCCAAAACATCTGAGAATTTAGGCAATCATGTCTTCCAGATGCTACTTTGAATAGAAAACCTTTCTAACAGAAATGTGTCTAATTCTGAATAGTGTTAAAAAAAAGTACAGAAGTCAGATACCTGACACGGTAACAGTCCAATTCTGGGAGCATTCATTTCGTTTAGCACATGGTTTGACAGCTGAACTTGAAACTTCTCTCTAAATACCAATACCCATAAGTGAAAATGCTTAAACTCCATTTCTCAGCTCACATTAAAGTGAGGAATATATGCCTCCTTTAGTAAGCCCTACACTCCATGTAGGTGTTTCCAACGTACGTACAATTGCTAACATTTGTATGATCCTATAGTCCTAGGATTGCAAGTGATCAGAATGGTGATACAAATGCTGGTAAGTGGATTTGACGCAGCACAAGACAACTTACTGTAGTAGGATTTACCCAAAGTTTCATCTTTCAGAGATTGTGATCATGTCCCAAACAATATTAATTCAGCAGAATAGCAAAGGCCCAGCTCTGCTGAGAGTTACCCACGCACTAGTGACGGCGTATCCCGCAATGAAACAGCTTTGCTGCCATCCCTCACCTGTGCTGGAGGAGACTGCAAAGGGTTGTTCTCAAGTAGTAATACTTGCAGCTGTTTCATCTCTCTAAAACAAATGGGAATCACGAGCACTTTATTGCAGGAAAAGTCAAACTTTACCAAGGGAAGATCTACTAGTTCTAAAGAACAGGGCGGGGAGAAAAAGAAAAAGAAAACACAAATTCAGAAAGCAACAAGATTAAATGGCTAAACATTCAAAAATTCATTCTTTGCTTACCAGGAAAAATATTTAACATAATTGAAGCAAGTTGTGCATCAGTAATACGTGGTCTGTGTCTAAAATATTTTACTAAAGGAGAGGGGAAAATCTTCCACTGGGAGCACAATCATTTTAAATTGTTGGTAGTTCTGATAAGAGCTAAAAAACACTTGACATTTACAGTATCTTTTGTTTAGAAAGGCCTTTCTTCCAGCAGAACAATCACATAAGCCACCCCACATTGGGTAGGTTTATGCTTTCACTTCATTTGCAAGCATATGAACAATGTGCTAATCATCAAATATGCTTATCGAGTCAACAACGTATCTGGGCTGGCATAGTCTCAGAGCCAGTTACAAGAAATGTGTTCCTGGGTTTTCTAATTCTACTTTCAAGACTAAATGCCATCTAATTCAGAACTCTGCAATGGACCCTGTAATCCTGCTTTGATGAGGCTCAAGTCTACTGCTTTTGAAAAGTCTCCTGCAGCTCCACAAACAAGATAGAACATTATATTTAGCTTCAAATCCCCACCCAGTGGCATAGTAAACACTCAGTAATTTCAAGCATTCCAACCGACGCTGGCAGCTGCAGGGAACGAAGTCGACTATATTTCACGGAGCAAAGAGGCTGAGCGACAGCAGACACGTAGAGCGACACGGGGCCAAGCAGTGAGGTCCCTGGGGGGGGGGCACTCCCACGTATGGCAGAGGGGCCTCGAGTAAGGGCTCCACGAGGAGATCCAAAGGGGAGGACAGGCAGGTGCTATATAAAGTGACCTGCGGTAAGAAGTGACCCGATTGCTTCCCCACCCCCCCACCCCCCACCCCAAGTGTGCCTGAGGGTTTTCAGTCGACTCAGCGACTCAGCGAGGCTGCTTCAAGTTCCACAAACAGAGATGCTCTTAGCAACCGTGATCTCTCCTCTGAGCCTCCTGGCCCTGGGCCTCTGGGTGTGGAAGGGACTTTCCTTGGTTCCTGCCTTAGGGGATTACTTTGTATTTAAAACAGGACCCGAGTGCGAGGAGAGAGGTTGAAGAGCATCGAACTCTGCAGGTCCCAAACTCAGTGCTGGGTAAATAGCCCTGAGCAAGTCCCTGCCCGGGCCCAGCCTCATCCCCCACTCTCCGCCCCCACCAAGAGCAGGGGCGGCGATTTGCCTGGCACCCTACTCATCCTGGAGGTTGCCTTGATGCTGTGAGCTGCAGGTGAAGGAGGGAGGGAGGATGGGGACCTGGAGGACAGCATGGAATCTGGAAGGTCAAGGGCAAAGTCAGATCTCTTTCACTTCATGGTTTATTCCTCAAACTGGACTAAGATGTAGAGGGATTTGGATCCCGGAGGCAGATCGCCTTGCTGGAACCCTTAGTGATAGGGATCCATCTCAGAGACTGTTCTTTTCACTCACTGAACTCAGGCCGGCAAATTTAGTGGCAAAACGTAACTGGACTCTGGATCTTCAGCGATTCTCTGCCTGGGACAGTGAAGGCTTTGAAGCAAGGCGGAGGGCTAAGTTCCTGGCAGGCACAGCAGGAAGGGGAGGAGAGGCAACTGAACCAAAGAGGGTAAATAAAGTAAGAATGGTTTGTATTATGACCCATTCCCGTTAATTGCAGTTTGGAACACAATTATCATCTTGGCTTCATTAGGAAAAACGAGAGCCTGGCAGTTTCACAACCAGAAAATGGTGGTGGTGGTGGTGGTGGTGGCTGAGAACTGCGGCCCAGAAATGGTCGCAAGAAACAGGGCAGGAAAAGGGAGGAAGAGGGAAAAAAAAATTCCAAGGCACATCCTCTGTTGCAAAGAAGGTCAATGACGGGCTCCTTTAATCTTAACTCTGTCCATTCTGGGCCTAGAGAAAAACAAAATGCAGGTCTCCTCATTGCAGTATGTGTAGTGAAACCACCACAAAATTGATATGGGTAATTCGGCCACAGACTGGTTTTCCCTCCTGAGATTGAAAGCATATGGGGAAGGGTACTCACAGAGGAAAAACAAGTAAATAGGCAAAGTCTTTAAATTCGTTGCCTGAAAGCACAATCAATGCCCTTTTGTTAATCGAGTTCTCTGGAGTGAAGCAGAAAAGAAACTTGATATGCAGGAAGTTATTTAAAAAAAAAAAAAGGGAGAGAGAGACAGAGAGAGAGAGAGAGAGATTTTTCCAGTAAACTGAAGTTTTAGCTTGGAGGATATATTTTTAAACTACTACACCTGAGAAAACCTAATTATGGAAAGGATAGAAATTTGTAACCTATCTTTTTTCAGGGATGAGAATTTTCTGAAGGTAAGAGTGTAGGGAGTGGTGAGAGAAAGAAAGACCTTGGTTGCAGAAAAGACACACTTTTCACATGTTTCTAGACTATTCTAGGCATCCGTGAAACGACCGTTACCCTTTTTCTTTTGAAAATGAGAGTTTGGTGATCTGTCATGAGCTTTCAGCGATTAGCAATGAGAGCTTAGAGGAAAGTTGCATTCAGTGCCACAAGAGGTTTAATGCTTAGAAATGTGCTGTAAGAGCATCTCCCCTTTGCACTTGCTCAAACCAAGAAAAATAATTTCATCCCTTCAAAATGGATGAGACTGTGACAGAATGAAAAATCAATCTTTTTATACCTAGTTATCTCAAAGTCATAAACTAATAAATCCTTGTGCCGACAGAGTTTCCACTTCTACTTCTTGAAGATGCTAGTTAGTGCACGAAAGGTGACAGGATGGCAGGTAGATACTAAAACCTCCCATCCAAGTGCATCACATTTTATAGTTCTTTCCCTTCCATGAGCTTCACCGGCTTGCCTTCAGGCCTAAGAGCAAGATGCAGGAACAGAATAATACAAATCAGGCGGTTCTCAACCAGCTGCAGTAGTGTCGGGTTAACCAAATGCTTTGGTTTCTGTTTCCGAGTATATGCTTTTGCTTTGAGGTATATTTTTAAATAGATGTGTGAACCCTGGTATGCCTGGTGGGCCTTAAATGAAACGGGTGGAAAGCAGTGCGATCTTTGAAACCCGGAATACGTCTTTTGGGAAAGCATTCGGTATTTTACTGCTCGTCGACTCATTCTGATTCAAGTCCAAACAAGAATCCCAACGTATGAAATTCAGATCCACCACCATCTACAGAGCTGCTTGTCAAAGTTCTTAATGGCCTGCAATTCCTGAAGAAATGTGTCTTTTTATTGGAACCCGAAGACAGCATATCAGAGGGACATGCTGTGGAAGCCCACAGGTGTAGAGAAGGGTTGGCCTGAGGCTGGCTCCTGAGCAGGGATGTCTGAGGGGGCAACCAGCCTCAACGCCGAGGTTCTGGAGGATCCCGGCTTCTGGCCTTTGGGAGACTTGCTGCAACAACCAGTGACGTTAGCCCATGTGCCACTTCAGCACGGGTGGTTCTCTCACCTGAAGCATAGATTCTAGACACAGGGGGCGGGTCCCAACCAGGGCGACCAGATACCCAAGGCCAGAGATCCTAACAGCTGGACCTACGAGACCAAGCACATCGCCTAAGGTGTTGGCCCAATGTTCCAGAACGTTGCACATCTATACCAAAAACACAACTCATGCTGCCTCCTGTTGTGAGCTGAACGGTATGTCCCCAAATTTCCTGCGTTGGAGTAGTCCTAGTTCCCAGAACCTCAGAATGTGGATGTATCTGAAGATAAGGCCTTCAAAGGGGTAACTAAGTTAAAATGAGGTCATGTGAGTGGGCCCTACCCAATATGACCCGTGTCCTTCTAAGAAGAGCAGATTAGGACGGAGACACAGAGGGAGGATGACGTGAGGATGCAGGGAGAAGCAAGCCATCTGTAAATCAGGGCACGAAGCCTCAGGAGAGACCTTGATCTTAGATTTCCTGCCTCCAGAATTGTGGGAAAATAAATTTCTGTTGTTTAAGCCACTCAGTCTGTGATACTTTGTTATGTGAGCAAACTAACAGACACACAGCCTTCTACGGGGGATCGGCTGCACTGTCGTGCTCCCGACTAAATATGAATATGAACTTTTCTGTTATCTGTGTGTGAGATTCATATGATTCATATTAATATAATTAATATAATTGGGCATGCACAAACATAACCAAACTACCTTCTTCCCAGAAGTAAGCAAACAAACAAACAAAATAAACATCTCCTGTTTTATTCTTTTTTTACCTTGTGGTAAAACTTTAAGGTAATTTCTTCTGACATTCAGTTCCCGTAGAGATTTCAATTGACCTATCTGCTGGGGCAAGGCTGTGATCTCGTTGCAGCTGACGTCCTGCATCAAAAAGCAAAGGCAGAAATGATAAACACCCTCTTCCAGGAAATCAAGCCTCCCGTGTGACATCTCCTTAAGGAATTTAAATACAAGGACGGCTCCTCGGGTTCATCGTTACCTTGGTCTGGACGCCCCTGGCCAAGCAAGCCTCAGCGCAGAGAAGGAAAAAGAAAGTGCATGCTTTTGAACATCCTCTGAGGCTGGAAGAGGAGAGAGGAAGGATGTCTGGGCCATTCAGGGGCTACTCTGTGGGCCTTGCACCTGCTGCGTTCTCGTGCTTCGATCGCATCTCACTGTCACGACGAACCCATGAGGCCGTGCTAGCAGCTTAGTAGTGTCAGAAAGGTGGGGCCCAGGGGGGTGAAGTCAGGCGTCCCGGGCAGTCAACACTTGGAACGAAGGCCCGCCCGCTGCTCAGCCGCCCTCCCACAGCGCCTCGAAACAGAAGGTGACACACCCCACCTAGCACAAACCCACATCTTACAGTGGAAATCATGATCCTTACGGCATCTTTTGGAGGCACTGTTTCTGTCGAATGGAGTCCGTGATGGGGGGCTGCACACTTTGTGCACCCAAGTGCCTGCAAACACATTTTTACCAGCAAGACCATGGGGCACACGGATGATGTCCCTTTCTTTCTTTTTTTCTTTTTAAAAGATTGATTATTTATTTATTCATAGAGACACATACACACACACACAGAGAGAGAGAGAGAGAGAGAGAGAGAGGCAGAGACACAGGCAGAGGGAGAAGCAGGCTCCATGCAGGGAGCCCAACGTGGGACTCGATCCAGGGTCTCCAGGATCACGCCCTGGGCTGCAGGTGGTGCTAAGTCGCTGGGCCACCCGGGCTGCCCATGACGTCCCTTTCTTGCACCAAAAGACGTAACATCCCGTCAATCGTGGATGGGGACCACTGCCCAACAGGTGCAGAGTGAGAGCTGCGGCCTCACACCCTGCTTATCCGCTCCCCTCATCCCCTCTGCCTCCTCCTCTGGAAGCTCAGCCTCCACCCCGGCTACTGTCCTGTCCAGAGCCACATCCTCCCTCCTGCGGTGCTCCCCAGTCACTTCCCTGAGTCCTGCTCCTCAATCTTCCGGAGTGTCCTTTCCCTGCATCACCCGCCAGCTCAGACGTCTGTTCCACCTCCTGGGAAGCGCAGGAGGGATCGTCCCCAAGTCGGCAGCTCCGGTGCTAGTCTGTGTGCCATCTCCCTGAGAGCCCCCACTTGTGTCCCCAAGCCCCCCCAACCCCCCGTGGCCGGCTGCTGTCACCAGTGTGTGTCCCGGCCTTTCAGGGGCCCACACCTGGTCGGGCTCTTCCCTGCCTGGCGCGCCCCCCCAATGTGGTCCCCTTGGCCCCCCTACACCGTCCAAGGCTGAATTCAAGGCTGGCTCCTCTTGGAGGCCTTTGTGGAGGCGTCCCCCTTCCATCCCCGTCTGATCACGCGCCCAGGGACAACGACGGCGCCATCCTCCATGGTCCTGCCCTCATGAGCTCGCACATTTGCCTTCCCTACGAGCCTGTGAGCTCCTCAATGGGAGATCCTGGGTCTTAGCCACTCCGTCTTCCCGGTGCTGAGCAGAATGCCAGGGATAAAGTGAGGGATCGGCCCCACGGCTGGCACTCCGGGACGCTCCGACCTACACACCGATCCCTGGCGGGTCCTGCTTGAGACAGCAGAGCCCCAGATCTACTTGGGCGAGGTCTGATCCCAATGAGATCGAGTGTTTAAATACCCCACATCACTCCTGAACCTGCAAAAAACAAAACCAAACAAAACCAAAAAAAAAAAAAAAATCCTTTCCCACCCCGCTTTTAGAAGGCAGCAAGGCCTGACTGCAGAAATCAGTCCCACACTCGCTCTGATGCGAAGAGCTCACCACTGACCCGTTGCCAGAAATCCCAGGGCTCCCTGTGAGAGCGGGACCATGCGGAACACAGGGCAGCACTGTCCTCTAATCTCTTCTCATCTGGAAACCCGCAGGTGACCCACCAATCTGGCAAGGTCACGAGGCTGCTAGCGAGTATCACCTGCTGAAGAGGAATAAGGAGCGAGGCGGCCCTCTGCAGAGGCCGAGTCTACACAGTGCACTCAGCCACGGTCCCGCTCTATGCTCTGCGTCTGACCAACAACCATGAGTGTCTCATGCCATCACACCGGGCTGGCTCTTGATGCATTAAAACAAAAACAAAAACCCACAGGTACATTGGCAGAGGAGTAAAAGTCTAAAGGAAGGAATTATAGAATTAAGAGGTCCGGGGATTTGTTCAGTCACTTTTGCCCCTCACTGAGTCACTAAATACTTCTGCCTTTCTGCATAGACTTCCATATACAAGAAGCAAAAAAGCGAAATGCCACCTTTTCCCGATTCCTATGGCTTCTGATCAGCCACAGACAGTAACCACCAAATCCTCTCAGTGAGACCTTTACATTTCTTTGCCTCGATCAAGTCACGAAGAAGCAAGAGGTAGCATTCCACGCTTTTAGCCAGGCTCTCACATAGACGGTATACAGGTAAGCCCTAGAGATATATGAGATTAAATCATCCTATTGGACTCGCAACCACAGTCACACTGGTGGTAGCTGGGGCCGGGGGGGGGGGGGGTCACAGGGAAAGAAACGGGGCATTTTCCATCCCTAGAGAGGAGTTAATATGACTGACATCCCCACTCACTTTTTGTAAGTCAGTGTGTGAATGCACAAGAAAGATCCTTTTTGCAGTTGATGGGAATCAGATTTTTGATATGAAACTGACAATTTTCACAAGTTCCAAGGACAGAATTCTTTTAAGAATCATGCTTGTATTTTATTATTTATTGGGGAGGGGGTGGGCGAAGGGGAGAGGGAGAGAGAGAGAGCCCCAAGCAGACTCCCTGCTAATCGCGGATACCGATACGGGACTTGATCCCACGACCCCGAGACCACGACCCGAGCCTAAACCGAGAGTTGGACACTCAACAGGTGAGCCGCACAGGCACCCCCCAAAAAATCACTTAAAAAAAAAAGGAGAAGAGAGAGGGAAACAAATAGATAACAGATATATTAAGGCAGCGTATTCACAGCATAAAGTCTCATTCAGTCGTATCCTATTTTTTGGTACATACTATATTCATCGTGCATGCTGCTGATTACCCGCTGCTGTTTCCCGAAATACCAGGTAATTTTTTTTTTAAACATATGTTTCTCACATAATGGCTTCATCAAGGAAAATCAACTCCCTTCAACTATATTTCAATGCTTATTTACTAGTAAGGAAAGCAGTTACTCAATTTACACTTAAAAAAAGAACATAACAATACAGAGTTTTTCGTTCTGACTTGCAGGACAGGACATCTGTAGACAATCAGAAACACAAGGTCCAATTGTCCATTCACATTTGGAGGGCTGTATGGTGAAGGTCAAATTATTCTAATAGCACTCTGCTGTCAGGTATTTCCTGTCCTGCCAAAACAACGAAGAGAAAAGGCGCCGGGAGATCCAGCGTGAAAGCCAGATAAAGACTTCTTGCTATTGTAGCATCAATATTGTGAAATTATGCAAACTCTATGGCCTTCCAGTCACTGAACCCTGCTATGTTTTAAAGGAGCTATGAATCTCATCACAAAAATTAAAACCCCCGTGGGTCTTAAGTCACTGGGGAATGAGGAGGAGGGAGGAGGGGATGTTAGTCTAACTTGAGGGATAAGATGGGGATAAGATGTTTCAGTTCAGAACACGTGAAAGCAGTATTCCTAGGACGGTCTGGTTCTCTAGGACATGTCTGTCCACATTTAGCCTAAGGTATGGTTCTTTTTTTTTTTTTTTAATTTTGAGTTCATTTTAAAAAGGTAATGTTTAGGAAAATAAATTTAATAAATAAATGACACCGATACCTCATACTTCTGCATTTAGGGAGAATTTACCAAACTATGACTTTCCGATTCATTGGCTCTTTTTAGAATAGTAAAGTGAATCCCTTCTGAATTGCTTATTAGCCCCTAAGCTCTGTCTTAGAAAATAATTATCTCAAACTTCAGTGAATCAAATTACCATATATTTACTGTTAGAATATTGCAAATATATAGGTAGGCCAGGAAGAAATCATCATAAGCATGTCATGCGTATTTACTAATTCTATTCTCTAGTATATAGAAATGAATCTAGTTTATATACAAGAACGTTAAGTACTCGAACTTAAGTTTTTATGGAATGGCCAGCTCAACTTAGTCATTGAGATAAAGATCAAAATGGAGAATTTTATGACCTAAGATAAACTTTTTTTCCACTAGTTTAATCAACATGTTTTTAAGTAACCAAAGGAAAAACTTTAGAGTCATTTCGTGCCAGCCCCTTCAGGCAATAAAGGAAGTCTCTAGAAGTGTTAAATGCACATTGGAGACTAATAGATTTTTGTTATTAAGTGCTAGTTGTTAATTTACTACCTTCAGTATGCAAAAATGATAAGGATTTAAAACATCAGATTAATTCAGGGGTTATTAAATTATTATTAATGTTCACTTTCAGAAAATAGTCTTTAAAAAAAAGAAAAAAAAAGTGTTTTCAAGGAGTAACCTCTAATGAAAACCAACACAACCACTGTGGATTGTGTCAAGACAATCTTGGTTAGCAAAAGACGTCCAGTGAGACCAGGCCACCCTGTGCAAATACATGCGGTATTCTCACAGGCTAACTTGCTCTGACCCTCAGGTTTTCAAAAATCTAGTGTGGTTATACAATCGCTTCAGTCGTATTTTTGTAATAAATGTAGTTCTTTATTTAATGGAAGGAAATGCGAACATTCTGACAGGAAATCCAAGCTATTAACTCCCATCATGGGATCATGCTCTTTTTGGGGGGAAATGTCTATTGTATGACTCACTGTGTAACTGTAGGTAAATGTCTTAACCTCTCTGTGCAAGATTGTGGCAAGATTAAATAATTCAAATTTCCTTGTGATATTAGGAAAATCCATTTATCACAACAGAGATAATGAAGAGATTTTGAAAGTCAGATACTTA